ATGAAAGCAGAACTTCAAGTGGAGAATCCTAAAAGCTGGAAAGGTTTTTGATAATTGGTTGGGATGTTGAAAAAATGTATTTGTTTATGAGAAATTCAAGTAAATTTGAAGGAATAATTATTTGAGAATTGTTTATGATAATATTGGTTTATAAGGAGTTGTAGAGATCAGTTTTTGATATTTTTGTTTTAAGTGTATTGTTTGTAAGTGGTTTGGTGAAGAGATTAAGTAAGCTGATTGAAACTGGTAGTTTGCATTCGTAAGAGTTGGGGTGGATGTTAAGAGGACATCTATTACATTTGAAGAGAGTGAGAGATTTGTCAAAATTTTGATTATTGTATGTTCAATGTTTAATAAGAAAATTATTTTTATTTGTTTTTTGTTTTTGCTGATAATTATATTGTTGTTAATTAATGTTGCAATTCATTTTCTTTTATTATTTGGTTGGGCAGGAGTTGTTGTTGTTTGATTGAATTGTTGTTGTGAAAGAATGTTATACCAATGAGGAATTTTTCCTTGAATGTTGTATTCCAATCTGGCTAATATGTATTGCCAGTTGGTGATTTTATTATTGTTAAAATTAAGAAGTTGTTTGATGTAATATATGTTTTTGTTAGCAAGTTGTTTGGCAAATGTTTTTCAGTTTTTGTGGGATGAAAGGTAATAGTGTATAGGAGTAATTCCTTTCAGAAGTTTGTGTTGACAGTTGGATTCTGAGCAGAATGTTATTTTGTAATGGCGAGTCAAAAGGACAGTATATGTTGTTGTGTTATGATTTATAGTTTGTTGGTTTTGGAATATGCATAGGGGTTGGCAATTAGAGTTTTGGATTGCAAGTATCTCTGATTCTTTGATTGGTTTGATAGTAGAATTTGTTAGTGAATATTGGAGGTTGGAGATGAGAACTTCATTTTGGAGATTGCTTATTGGCTTGATGTTAAATATGTGTAGTTGTAGAACCAAGTTTGAGAAAGTGTTTTTTTAATATTGAATTTGTGTTTAATTATAGAGTCAATTTTAATTTGGATGTTTTTAAGCATGTTTGGTATGAGAAAAATCATTTGTAATTTGAATTCTATTCATGGAAAAAGAACTTTGTATAGATGTATATTGCTATATGGCCTGTTGTAAATTTTGATTTGAGTTCTTGTGCTATTGTTTCTGTATCTTCTATTATTTTTTTCTGGTTGGGAGTTAAAATACAGTGTTCAGATATTAAGATTCCTAATATTTGTATTGGTTTTTTTTTTCTAAATGGGTGAGATAATAACTGTACCTTAATAGATTTGTTTATTAGATGTTTTGCTATTTATTGTTATTAGTTTAATTTTGGTGGGGTTTGCTTTAATGTCATTGAGTAGAAAAAATTCAGATGCTATGTTGAGGTTATTTTGGAGTTCATCTTTTGATGTTGCAAGTAGGTTGAGGTCATCTATGTATACAATTGTATTGTGTTTGAGTTGTAATAGTTATTGTATAAGTGCTGTTATTAGGAAATTATAGAAGATAATTCACCAAAGTGATAAAAGTGTTTCTCCTTGGTTGATACCATCAGGGATAATAATTTGTTATGTAAGGCCATGATCAGTTATTATTTGACAGGTTTGGTTTGTAAGGATGTTGCTAGAAAGGGTAATAAATGTTTCAGGGATATGAAGTCTGTATATGGATTTTTTTAGCATATTAAGATTAATAGAGTTGAATGCTGCACTTATATTTAGTAAAAGGGTCCATAGTTTCTGATGTATGAGTTTTTTGATATTGTAAATTGAATTGAGTATTTTATTGGTTCAAATGTGCTTTGGTTTGAAAGTTCTACGTAATTGAATTTTTGAAGTATATTGTTTGAGAAGAGAATAGAGCTGAGTTTTTAGTTAGTATTTTTGTTAAAATTTTTCTAAAGAAGTCAATCAGTGCTATGGGACAAGTTTCTTGGATATTGAATTTCCATTGGAGTTTTTTATTGATGGGGTATATGTGATAGTTTTTCCATTCTGTTGGAATTTCTTGAGTGAGAAGAATTTGGTTAAAGATTGTTTATAGATATAGAAGTAAAGTTTTTTGTTTTATAAAGGTGTATGTAATTTCTGATGAATCTGGGGCTTTGTTGTTTGGAAGGAAGTTGATTGTTTCTGTTATTTTATATTTGAAGATTGGATTCATTAGAGTATTATATATTGTTGGATTGATATTTTATAGAGGGGTATAGTATTTGTTCCACTTGGAGAGTAGTTTATTGTTAATTATTCGCTTGCAAAAGACATTTTTGTTGTGGTTTGTAATTGTTTAATGGATAAGTTATGGATTTATGATTATTTCTTCTTTGATAGGATCAATTATTTTTGTAAATGGGGCTTTTGGTTTCTTGTGGTTAAGTGTTTGTTGGATTATTATCTTTGGATTATCTTGTAAGTTTAAAATTCATTGGTTAATGATTTTGCTTATAGTTTCTTTTTTATAGAGATTGTTTTCAATTTTAAGTGCTTTGTATATAATTTTAAAAAGTTGTTTTAATGAAGTTATTAGCTCAAATTTGTTTGAATGAGGAAGTTTGTGTTTTTGGAGTTCTTTCAATAGGTTGGAATCAGTTGGTAAATGTGAGAGTGTGGATAGGTTATAAATATGAAACTTAATTTTTTGTAACTTTTTGTGAAGTATTATACTATTTTTAGAGAAAATTCAAGGAATGGTTTTCTGTATTTTTGTTTTTAGGATGTGTTTGTTCATCATTTCTTTAATTATGGAGTTGAAAATTTTTCAGGATATTTGTAGGTCTAGTTCTTCAAGAGATGATAATTCTAATTTGTTATTGATAGTTATATTGATTGTTTCCCATGTTTTGTTGATTAATTTGTTGTATTTAAAGTAGATTATGGTAGTTGTTTTAGAAAGTTTAGTAATTAAGAGGTTGGATAGTGTAAGTGTAGTGATTTTATAATCACTGTGGAATTATGGTTCTATATGGATTATTTGTATTTTGATAACTTGTATGGCTATATCATTTGTGATTCAAATTTGATCTATTCTGCTTTGACCTGATGGGCCTGAGAATGTATATATCATTTTGTTGGAATGAAAAAGACAGAAGATGTCAATATAGTTTTTGTTGAGTTTTTTGTATATAAGTGACTTGTATTTTGGTTCAGACTGTTGGATCCTGTCTTTTTTTGTGGATGTTGAGTTAAAATCGCCCATTATTATATGAAAGATGTTTTTGGAAAGGTTGTTATTGATAAGTTCATAGAGATATGTAGTGGTTTGTTTCCTTTGATATATATTGTGTGGAATGTATACTTGAGTTATATAAAGTTTAATTTTGGGTTTGAATTGGAGATAAATAGAAATAACATATTTCTTGAGTTCAGAAGTTTTATAAAGATTGTTTTGAAGATTTTTGTTAAGAATAATGGATACTCCTACTTGGCTTTGATTGAGGTTACTTGAGTGTATTAGGAAGTTTTCAATGTTGTATGATATTTTTTTTTTATATTTTGAAGTTTGGTTCTAATAGACCAAATATGTCGTAATTGTTTTTTCTGATGTATTCCTAAAGACAGTTAAGTTTAGTTGTATCATTTAGACCACAGATATTTAGTGAACTGATTTCAAAAAAAGTAGGTTTGTTTTGTGTTGATGAGATTTTTGTAAGGTTTTTTGTTATAGAGAAATTTTTGGTTATATTTATGTTCATTGTTAAAAGAATTTGAAAAATTTGATCAAAGGTTCAGGAAGTTCAATTTGTGTAATATAATTATTTGATAACCTTTGAAACTAAAGTATTCTCTTAGTTTATGAATTTTTGTGATAAAGTTAATGTTATTAATAATGGAAAGTTCTATTTGGATGTGTTTGTTTTTGAGAAATTTTTTGAGTTCAAAAAAATTGGGAAGAGAAGATTTAGTGATTATTTGAATCCATTCATTAAGGATTTTTGAGAAATGGTAGAATTAATGGTCTTTAATAACATTTGGATGGATATCAATTTTCCTGATGATTGGGAAATTGGTTCCTGCTTTTTTATTTACTTCTTGGTATTTAGTTGGCAATGGAGGTTTGTTTATTGTGATCTGTTCATCATTGTTTGTTTTGTCAGGTTTGTTTTGAATTGGAGGAAGGTTAATCCATTCCTTGAAAAGAGGGCTGGTGAAGATATATTTTTTTGCAAGTGTTTTAAGAAGGAGGGATATATCATTAGGGTTTATTACTGGAAGCAAAATATTGGTTTCAAATACAACTTTGTCATGAGAGCAAGAGAGCTTTGTCCTAATAAAAAAGTAGTCATTTGGAAGGAATTTAAAGAAATAAGTTTTTCTAAGTAGGGCAATAATTTAGTAGTAGAATAATGGGCTTTTTAGGTACACGGACAATAAATTTTTGGTTAACTCTAATCTATTTCTATTGATTTCAACTTTTTAACTTATTCCTGATAACTTCCATATATAAATATATATATTTCGTTTTTTAACCAAAAATACACCAATTTAACCAAATATATTCCCACTTATTTGATTACTAAATTGTTTTCTCTCACGGAGGAGCATAGTGACTCCAGATGCGAAGCGTAGCGAAGCATAGTTATCGTATTTGATTGCTAAAATGTTTTCTGTTTTTAAAAAATATGGATAAAATTTATAGGTACACCAATTTAACCAAAAATTCTAGGGTTTAATTACGTTTCTGATATATATTTTTCCATGCCTTGATATGAGCTTCGCTCTAAAGCTTTTTCACGAAGTCTTTGATAATAAGATGTAACATAATATCCTCTTTTATGTATTTTGCATCGTCCACAAGCAGAAGCAGTTGGTTTTCCACAATCACTACAAAATACACGTTTTTTTGACTTATAATGAAGACGGCATCCTTCAGGACGTATAGAAGGATCATTACAAATTTTACCAGAATTATGTATATATTGGCAGGTATATTCACCGATCATAATAAATAATTAATTAAAGTTAAGATTTTATAAAAGTAATATATAATGCTTTTTATACACGATGGTTAAAAATACTACTTGTGATAGATGCGGTCTAAATCTTTCCACTTATCAGAAATATCAACAACATTTAAATCGGAAAAATCCTTGCCGACCTAAGAATTTTACTCAAGCTCCAATAGGAAATCCAGCTATAGCCCCAGTAGAAAATCCAGTATCGACCCCGGAAGGTGATCTCATATCATTTGATGAAAATCCACCAACGCACCAGCCAAGAGAGGCAAGAGAACTGGCTGTCGACCTTTTAACTGGAGATATTCCGAATACAGAAGCTGAGTCAGCTCCTAATACCTATATAGACCAAAAAAAGAGTCCATTTTTGACAATAGATGAAATAATAAAATGGGTATCAAAACCGGAAATAAAAAATAACAAAAAAATTAGATCGAAACCAATTCCTAAAACTGATGAAGAATGGTATTATTTAATGGAAACAGATGAAGATAAAGATACAGTAGTGAACCTATTGAATCAGAATATGATACAGCAGATGAAGATCCAGATGTATATTTCGAGATCCATATATTAATAGAATATCGGAAGCAGAAAAATTTAATGAAGGTGAAGTATGTGATTATTACGCATTTGTTCCCAAAGGATATTTTGCTGAAGGTGAGCCATTAGCTTTCTTTGAAACAATCGAGGAAAAAATTGCTAATGTATATAAAAGAGAATTAGGTTCAAAAGGAGGATTAAAGGTAAGAATCGTGTTATATGCATATATGAAGAAAATTAAACCGGAAACACCAGAACCTATATATAAAACTTTTCCTTTCAAGCATGAAACTATAGAAATTATTAGAGAAGATCGAATTAACGCAACTATAGAAAAAGGATATAACGAAATTATAGACCAGATTGAGGATGAAGCAATACAAGAATCAGGATGGTCATTTGTTCGAGCAGAAGAAGTATTTCTCGAGATAAGTGCATTCAGGCCACTACGTGGTAGTAACTATTTACCTTTACCAGAAGCTTTGGATAAACCTCAACTAGGATTAATTAATCCGCAAAATAATGATGATAACGAGTGTTTTAAATGGTGTATAAGTGCATATCATACAAGAGAGGAAGCATTAAAAGCTAATAGGAAGCCACCCCATCTTAATGAAATTCGAAGACTTAGGCGAAATGCGAATATTGCTAATTTTAATAATATAAATTTTCCTGCCACACTACATGATATAGATAAATTCGAAGAAAACAACCCTAATTATGCTATAAATATATTTAGGCCGGTGTATAAAGAAGTGTTCGGAAAAATAAAAGTAGATATAGATCCATTACATATCTCTGAAAGAAATTATCAAGTCGAACATATGATAGATTTATTATATTTAACAGAAGGTGAAGAGAATTTAAATGATCGAAAAAATACAAATGATATACCAGAAGGATTAAAAACACATTATGTATTTATAACAGATTTCAGCCGATTAATGCATAAGTGGAATAACCATCATGGTAAAAAATATTTCTGTCGAAAATGCTTGCGATTTCCATATAGTAGATTAGATCTATTACAAGAACATATTCTTACATGCCCAGGTCCAAGTAAAGCCTCACAACGTTTAATTCTTCCAGAAGAAGGTAATAATTATGTGAAACCCAAATATATCAAGAATATGTAAATGAAACCCTATCTAATTACTATGGATTTAGAAGCAAAAGAAATCGAAGCAGAGGAAAAAGATAAAGAAGGAAACACTATAAAAGAAGCAGAACAGATAGCAGTTTCATATGGATATACTATTCATTGTTCAGATGGAACAACGCAAAAACCTGTGATTAATCGAGAATCCGAAAATATAATAAAAGACTTAATGAAAAACCTTCAAGAAGATCTAGATATTATTTTAGATAAGCTTCGTAAAATAGTTCCATGTGAAAAAATGACTCCTGAATTATGGCGAAAATATCAAACGGCAAATAAGTGCTGGATATGTGAAGAAAAATTACACGAATCAGGATACAATAAAATTCGGGTATTCGATCCAGAAACTAAGAAATATTTAGGAGCTTCACATAGAAAATGTCACGGAAAAAAAGAATTGATTCGAGGTATACTAGATGATGAAGAAAAGAAAACACATGATGCGTGTAAAAAATGTATGTATTGTAAAACAATATTACCAGATGAAGGTAAAAACAAGGTATTAGATCACGATCATATTACAGGAAAATTTCGTGGACCGGCACACAATAGTTGCAATCTTAAATTACGAATTGATCCAGAAACAATAAAAATCCCAGTACTACTTTGTAATGGAAGCGGTTATGATTTTCACCATCTTATGCAAGAAATAGCGAAAGTAACAGATGAAAAAATAATACCCATAGCAAATAATTCAGAGCAATATATTACCGTAATTTTCGGCAAATAGTACCCCGGGTCTCTTACATTTTTAGGGGTCAAATATTAATTAGTATCCAGTGG